ACGTCCACGGTTACAAAGTCCCCGTGGTCGTCCCAATAACAATTGCAAAATTTTGGTTAAACTCGAAGCAGCCATTGCTGAAGCAGTTTAGTTTATGGTTTTTCCTAGCGGCGGCGCTCGACTGACTCCCTTAGAGCTAATGGACTGCGGAATACCCGTTAGAATGCATGTTCATGCCACCATGTTGCCCACGGTTACGCTGATGTAGAAAGCTACCACCAAGTACCGGCTGGCGATCAATATGCACAAACCGCTTCATGTGGTGGTTTGTAGATATTTCCGCATTAAGTACGGCTTAGGCTTCGGAATATGTGGTAGTTTGAATCCTTTCTTCAGACAGACATCAGAATTTGTTTATTGGAAATTTTCACTTTGGACAGAAATCATCGGAGTTTCTTTTATGCTCGTATTAGGGCAACACAGCAGGTGGTGCGCGAATAATTTCAGGCTCGGGACTTCTAACCGGTGTCAAATGGGCTAGCATCCCATGACCAGTGAGAGTGACAGCAAAACCAAAACAGCCTGCTTGGCAGCGCGAATTGAATGCACAGCAGATTTCGAAAACGTGACACGATAAGAGCTTTGTACAATGCGCTTACGTAGTTATATTATGGTATCTTTCTCAATATGCTTTTTCTGAGCTGTAAATGTGCGCAAATTTAATCCGTCTTTCCGCAGACCGCAATTCACGTCACTGTATTTTCACTGGACCGTTGCCTTATCATTATGAATGCGGTCGAAGCTGACAACGACCACCCTGCGGAAAGACAGCTGGAGGGCCAAATACGCATCGAGCTTCAGGTCATTTTGATGTTTGATGTAGATGAACAAAGCCTTTACTTCGCCTCTGTATTCTGGTTCGGTAGGACACAAGAGGATTCGTCCAAATTCCGTGGCCACAAACACGCGTACTAAACAGGAGATGAATACTGACGTATCCTGCGCCGGAACTCATGCCACGAAGTTGCGCCTCATTACGTAGTACGAAAGTTTGCTACGGAAGGTCGGATAATTATACAAGTTGGCACTTGGGTATCTACGAAAATGACGAGGAGCTGGTGAAACAGAAATTCATGATTTGGTTTTTGGCGTAATTCGGAAGTCCCCGAGAGTCATTTAGAGGCCTGTACTCGTTATCCCGGGACAGTAAATCCCAAATTGGACTGCTTTTTACCTGCCTTAGAGACCCGTTTAGACATAGTAGCCTTTGCTGTAAACTGGCCTTCCACAGCTGTCAGGGCATCTGAAGAGTCAGGCGTCGAGTATCACATCTTCTGCTCAAAGCAACAAGGAGAAATTTCCGGCGGTGGCTTAGTGGTCCATTGGCAGACTAATATCGGGTACACGCAGTCGAAGCGACCAGTGACAACGACCTTGGGGTCGATGCCCTCTGGTGTCATGTTTAGGCTAGATGAAGTTTCTCTCAAATTTGATTTCGTCTACAGAGCGCCTGCAGGGATTGGCGCTTACATTTTGGACTCCAGCAGAGGGCATAGTGAGGAAAGGACTGCCTTACCTTTGAGGTCTTCAGTACTGCTTCCGTTGACTGGGACTTGCTTCTTTGTGCTTGATCTTAGACCCATTTAAGAAAAAGTTACTCAATACCATACTTCACTGTACTTTTGCTTCAAAACATCACTAGGTTAAATCGTATGCCCCAGTCCAGCTGCTGTTTTCCTAAGTCTGTTACTCTCTGCAACGCAATCAGATATCCCGAAAACTTTAGTGACGCAGCCTATTGGTGGCTGCGATCAATGCATGGTCTCATTCTAATGTACAAGTCGCTTTGCTATTTACAGCCAACCACCCAGCGAATAAATTGTTCGCGTGCAGATACACTCCGTCTGAAAACCGCCGCAAAAGTTGTCGAGTTGAGCATTCCTGCACCCCTTAATGTTAATGAGTCGAGGAACCATTTGTACTACAAACTGACTTCGCTCATTGAACTGGTGATCCTATTTTGCAAAAGCAGACCCTCCTACCGAGTCCTACCTGGGATCAATCACGAATGCAACTCAAGGAGGAAAACAGAACGAATATTATAGGATCGTTTCAGAAGCACGTGAGTCGAGCTTGACTACTGCTAATACCAAGCTATCCCCTAGTATACCACAAACGAAGCACCAAAGCTGGAAGTGTGGCCTCTTTGTTTAATTTTTAGCAATTGACCCTAGTTTACGAAGAAGTCGGAAAAGCCAGCCTCTTCGTCCAACGATATTCAGCCGCCTACAAGACCGAAATGCCACTAAGGGTTGGTGTATCGCTCACTCTTGCTTCCCTGTTGAAACACGTGGATGTTAACACAGATGTAATAAATCATCTCCTTGACCTATACACGTATTACTTGTCTGATCCCGATGGCTTTCACCCATAATTACTCTAGTCTGTAACTGGGCACGTAGCCGCTCCTAACTGTCAAATTTTGAGTCGTTGGTTTGTGGTCAACTTACTTCCAACTGCATGGAAGTTGGTAATGGTTGAATCTAGTTATCAAGGGAAACAAAAAGATGTAGCTAGCTATCGCCTCATTTTTCTGACTACGATTTGTGCAGTCATGGAATGTATTCTAAAACGCATTCTTCGTCTTCCTCTCGGGATGCTGTTAAAAAGCTCCCATGCTCTGCATCGCATCCGAAGGGAGCGTACATGTGCCACAAATTAGCAGGTGGCTAAGGAACCATCAACCCACTCCATAGGTGCAAGTAGGTGCTTGGGTGCTGTGTTTAGTAATTGCAGTAAGGCTTTTAACAACCTCCTTCCCGAGCAGCGCAGGACGGATCTGACAAGGGAAATCCCTCTGCTCGCTACCAACTAATGGACCAAGAAAATGATAGAGTACGGTACGTAGAGATATATTGTAATATCCCAATTGTAGCTGCGTGAATGAGCCATATATGTTCACCCGGTTTATGGCATACTATTTGCAAAGCACACAACTACTTCCCAAAGATTTCCTGGTTCGTGCTAACGTTTCTTGCTAGGAGTTAAACAAAAGCAACATCAAAAATGACTTCTTGTTTCCCATTAACTTGTCGTGTAAAATTTTCATAAAATACTGTCATACGCATTTTTAGTTACCGAATAATGAAAGTCAGTATTAACTTATCCAGTGACATACGTACGCTTTGCACCCAGCAATGCCTTTTGAAATCCCGCGTACCTATTTCTATGCTGACTGTATACCATAAGACTACATAAGCTACAGGACGCACCCTTCCCACAAGCAT